GAGTATCACCTTATGAAGAAGGAACTGTCTTTCTAAAACTAGTATTATACCCTACACATCAGAATAATACTTGAGTGTATACCCAATATTTAGATGATAACTACTCTTGGTACCAAATGGATATGACATAACTCATATATAGTTTATATGGATCTCTCCTTGATTTATACCACTGCATAGTTATATTTTATTTTAAATACTGTACAAGTTTTCAGTGTTATAAATATGAAGTGGAACTGATCTTTCATTCTTATAGAATGATTTTTTTCTTTCATGCCATTTCTTCCTTCCTTTTTTCCTTCTATTTTTGCTTCCCAATGACCTGTTTCCCTGTTTTTATGATATTAAATGAATTACACAGTACCTGAATATTTAATTAATTCCATTTGCATTATTTTCCAGATCATTAATAAAGCTAATGCTAATGTTAATCCCTATACTGGCCCCCAACAACTCGACAGTTTGTTATTTTTCATCAGTCCTTATTCATCGTTCTTCATCCTCATAGGAAGAGCTTATGAATTAATTTTTCAAGCAAGTTAATATAAAAAATATGAAGCAATTTTAAGTATCTTACAGTGATGGATTCTCCTAAAGCAAAATTTTACCATTGCAGACATAAATTTTTATGAAATTGAACTGATGCCCTGTTTTCATCTGTTATGGCACATCTCTGTGTGAAGCAGGTGCAAGGGGTTGGGGATTTGAGAATCTCCATCTTTGCTTCCAGATTTCCAAGCTCCTCCACCTCACTCATCCTACGGCACCCCCAGAAAACTCATAGGTTAGAAAATCAATTTTGTTCCTTGAGAAAGTGAATATGGAGATGTATGAATTAAGAGTAAATACTGAGAGGTAGATAAATGTCCTATGCTAAGTGTTAGTAGAATAGTGGTGAAAATTGTATGTACACACACATTTGTTCTGAAAATGTTTAAGATAGAGAGCTGCTCTTAAGGAAGATTCTATTCTGTTAGTTGTGATGTACCAAGTGTATTTTGCTAATAAATCTGAAAATCTTCTCACATAAAGTCTATCTGTAATTAATTCCATATTATAGTTTATATATGACATGTGAATCATTTTTGTTCTGCATTTATTTTCCAGTTGAATCTAATGTGCCTGACATAATAATAGGCTTTAAATATCAATGAAATACATTGTTACACTAAGATGCACTGTTAACAAAATTTTCTCATTCCTCAAGAGGCTGTACTTAAGCTAATACTTGAACTAATACAAAGAAAGGTTTAAGATATACAAGAAAAGGTCATTTTTGAGAGAACTTTTTCAGTGTCTTCTGAAACTGGAAATACGGGAAAGATATTAATTCTTCATTGAATTAAAGTTAAGTCAGAAAATGCATTTATATAATGGGATTATATAAATATATCGTTCATTAACATATAAAAGTAAAAGTGCATAGTTAATAAATAGTGGTCTAGAAATGTGCCCTGATGTGTAGCTTTGCAAATCTAGGTTGTTCAAAAGTACATTTCATGAGGAGTGGAGGAGGGATTAGGGTCAAAATAAGGGGGGTGGGAATTGTATGGGGAATATAACCAAGCTGAAAATGCATACATTGTGCAAAAACGAAAAAGGATGTAAAAAATATAAAAGGAAATAAAAGTACATTTCAATTTTTACTGAAAGTGAGATATAGCATATACTTGACAAATGAAAAATGTTCTATTACAATTTACCATTTTGTCTGTTTCTTTCCTGGACACTTGCTTGCTATATATGGAAAAAAAATGAAATTAGGTGTATTGTCTGTGTAAACCACATATTTAATGATTTAAATTATTCAGAAATATGGGCCTCCCCGGTGGCGCAGCGGTTGAGCGCTGGTTGCCAGGCTGCCTGCGGCCTCTGAGGCGCCAGTTCGATCCCCGGCTGCTCCCCGGCCACCGGAGGAGGGTCCCACATGGCGCGCGGACCTCTCCTGCACCGCTGCTCCCCTCAGCAGTGTACTTCAGTCCTTCTGCCTGCTCTGTTCCCCGCTCTGGCTCTGGTGAGTTCTCTCACCCTCCCGCACTTCTGACTGTACCCAGTGCTTGTATAAATAAATACATAAAAATAAACCTTTAAAAATAAATAAATAAATAAATAAATAAATAAATCAGAAATAGAAGTGAAAATTGATTTCTTCTAAATTATGATGGTAATTTGTAAGTGAAACAAATATAATCTCAATTGAGGGTGACTTGACAATATTGTCTAAAATTTTCAGGTTTTTTACAATCTGCTTCTTTTGGAACTAGGGAAAGTAAGTACCTGATCCAGTGTTTTAGAGGGACCAGATCTCTCCCTACAGTATAAGAGTTAGACAAAAAGGAGGCAACACTCAAACCTGAGGCTCTGGCACCACTTTTAATCCTCTTGTGGATAAACCAGGAATGGGCAATTTCCTGTCCCAAAGAGCTGTTATCAGGGCACTCTCACTAATGCAGAATTTTGCAAACTTCTAAACCTGAGGGTAAGTAGGAGACAACTATTTGGAGATACTGGGTGTGTGGGGGGGGGGGGGGGGGGGGGGGGGGGGATAAGAGGCAAAGTCCTGAGGGTAGAAAAATGATGGAGGCATGTAGAAGGTCGAAAGAATTTGGAAGTAGTTCCTCCCCTAAAGTACATTCTGTCATAGACCTCTAAATACTCCAAAAAGTATAAAAATCAAATGTCACCTTCCAGGTTTTTATGAATATATTTTATCAAAGTAGAAGGATAAAACTTACTTATATTTTAAATTATTGCTTTAATTCATAACTTTCAAGCACTTATATAGTATGTGAATAGCTATCTGTACTCTTGTGCTATGCACTCCAATATTTGACATAATTACACAGCAAACAAAGGAAGAAAAACATTGAAAATAAACCATCTTCATTGACAATTTAAATAGTTTAGCTCCTAAATATTTTCTTTTAGCTTGTTTTCTCCTCTAGGTGAACTGAACAGGTAATCAAAATGGTCTAATAAAGTGAAAAAAATGGACACATTGATCAATCTCTCATTCAATTTGGGAATGGAAAAGAATTAAGTGAATCATACAAAAATATTCCTTGTTAACTGTATTTTTATAGTCATATATCAGACCATATATATCACATATAAATATGCATGCATACAATAATAGTTAATATATTTGAGAGCCCAGTATATTTTACAATGAGCTTTTGATACATTGTATGGTTTAATACACCAAATACAACTATCTTAATCCAAATGACAAATGATACTGAGAAAAATCACACTTTACATGAAGCATTCTATATAATAGAAAACTCATAAAATGAGATATTGTTCATATGTGCCTCTGCAGATATTGTTACTGTTCAGAAAATTCATTTTTATAATATTTTCAGAAAATATTCATGAGTTAAAAATATTAACATGAGAACTCTGAATGATGATATAAGTACTTCTACTCTCAAAGTGTATATAGTAATAGGATTTTGATGATCATGAATTATATATGATTATATTTTCATGGATATTGTCTGAACATCAATTTCATGTGTGATTGATTTTCAAAATGTGTTGACTAGAATACATTTTCAAGGTCCATTTATTCAAGATTAGGTTCAAGTCACATAAAACAAAATTTCTTATGAATTATAGAGACAAAACAGTCTCCTAAAACATCAGAGTTCATCTGGATTCCTATGGTAGGGTTTTTTCATTAAATGATACAATATTTTAAATCAGTTATTTTTATGGTTATTTTTACAGGTTTTGGCAGCTTTTTTTTTTTATTTTTATAGGGGCTGACACACATTCTTTTAGGGAAAAAAAAACGTACTCTATAACCTGGTTATTCAATTTAATCTCCTCAATCAGTACCCAAGGGAAAACATGTTTCTCTCAACTTTCCTATACAAAATAGGTGTATCACACCAATCCCATGTTATTCATTCATTGATATATATAATTATTCAATAAATTATTAACTGAGAGCCTACCAATACTTGACACCATGCAATATATACTCAAATATGCAGACACAGATGAACAAACAGCAGATTGCTACACAAGGAAATTAAGAACACAGAGAGCAAGACAGATAAGTAATTGTATTTAATATCTCTTATAAAATCTTGTGATAAAAGAATGCCCCTCCCTGAGTGTTTCTGTCTGCTAAAAGTAACCAAGGTAACTTCATCTTCTCTTCAACATGAACAATAACATGTCTTTCAGTATATAAAATTTACTTTATCGTTGCATGAATTCTATACTTAGATCCTATACTTATATTCACATACCAAAATCCCAAAATGAATGAACTGAAATCAACTGACTCAGAATTGAAATGAATATTAAAAATAATAGACAAAGATATTAAAAAGGTTATAATAACTATTCCATATGTTTAGAAGTTTAATAGAAATATGAGAGATGTAAAAATAATGAAACAAACACACAAAACTGAAAATTTCAATGTTTATTACCAAAAAATACCATGGAATTAATAGTCTAGACATTGCAGAAGGAAAAAAGAGTAAATTTGAAGAAATAGTAGTCTAAAATGAAATATAGATATAAGAATTACTGAAAGAAAATAAACAGCATTTGTGAGTTTAAATGATTAAAATTAAATCAAGGCACATCATCAAATTACTCAAAACTTGTAATTCTGAGAAAATCTTAAGGCAGGAAAAGAAAAAAACACAATGTATACAAATAGAAGAAAAGAGTTAAGGCTGATATCAGATTTCTTGTGGGATATGCAAGTGAGAAGACAATGAAGGGACATTTTTCAAAATACTGAAATAATTCTTATATACCAGGAATTCTGTATCCAGTGAAAATATCTTTCAAAAGAAAAGGTGAACTGGAGATTGTTTTAGATATTCAAAACCTGAAATAGGGCCTCCCCGGTAGCGCAGCAGTTGAATGCTGGGCTGTGAAGCTGCCCGCAGCCTCTGCAGCACTGGTTCGATCCCTGGCCACTGGCAAGGGGCCCACATGGCGTGCAGACCTCTCCTGCCATGCCCGCTGCTCCCCTCAGCAGTGTGTTTCGTCAGCCTGACTCTTCTGCTCCCTGCTCTGGCTCTGGCGAATTCTCTCACCCTCCTGTGCTTCTGACTGTATCCAGTGCTTGTATAAATAAATAAATAAATGGAAAAATTTAATAAAAAAAAATCAAAACCTGAAATAATTCATCTCTAGCTAACTTGTGCTATAAGAAAAAGTAAAGGAAATTCTTCATACAGAAATATAGTTATAAGAGAGCACTGAAAATGGTAATACTATGGGTAAATATGCAACCTTTTTCTTAATAATTAAAAATTTTGAAGATGACTAATTCTTTAACAATACTAATAATGATATAGTGTATATATTGTGGGACATAAACATATATAGAATTAAAATATATCACAACAGAAACAAAAAGACTGGTAGGAAGAGATGGAATTATACTATTGTCAGGATTTATAATGTATTAAAGAGGTACAAAATCATTTGAAGATAGAATGTAAAAAGTTAAAGATAGATAGGTAAACAATCACAAAATTAAAATAAGCACCATAATAGGCCAACAAAGGAGGTAAATGTAATAAAAAGTAAGATCCTAGAGGCTAGCAATTTTTCAAGATAAAATAATTTGTCTATTAAACTGAACTTCTAACACCCTAGTTTTACCCTAATTTATAAAATAAGGTATTTTTTTTCTTTTTAGAACCTAATTATATATAACACAACCAAATGCCTAATGCCAAATGAAGAAATATTCATCTAAACAACATAAACTGTGCCAAAAGTGAAAACACTGAAAATTATATAGAAATTGGTATGTGTGTATAATAGAAATTAAGCATTTAGTGAGGTTAAAAAATGGGCATTAGAATAAAAAAAGTACTAGTGGGAGTTTCAAGTCTAATGCTCAGTAGCTCTTTTAATTCATTTGTAAAAACTAAGATCATGATATTTTATTAGTCACTTTAATCTTGTAAGTGCAGTAACAACAGAATTTCACATCACTGTGCTCTTTTACAATGTGACTTTGTCATTCCCCCTTTAAGGAGTAAGTAGAGGGCAATAACTCTCCCTTTGAATATGGGCTAGCCTTAGTGACTTGCTTGTAACCAACAATATCATCATAAGTATCTCCAAGTGGTTCTTGAGAATAACTCAGAATGAGGTGCACAACTTCTGCCTATATCCATGTTTGTGAGAAGTCTGAATCACATGAAAAGACCACACTTGAAATGTCCAATTCATAGCCCCAACTAACCTAGATTTTGTCTCATCCTAGTGCAGGCTCCAGACATTTGGGTGACATCCCTAGATGATTTCAGCCCCCAGCAATTCAAATTACTACGCTTTCCAAATGGAAAACCACTAACATCTCAGATATCATGGACTAGAGATAAGCTTCCATCCATGCACCATTTGAATTTTTGCACCAGAGAATTTGTGAGCATAATATAATGGATATGATTTTATAGCATCACTGTATACTAGCTTTGAGGACTGAAGAATTAAAAATAAGATCTAAAGATATCTAATCTATTGAGCAGTCTAATGATCAGCCTAATTAAGGGTTAATTTCCTTCTTTTAATTCTCCTTACATCAATAGCTCAGCTAGTCAAATCAGAATTAGCAATGCACCAAAACTGAGAAAGTCCAGGAAGAACAATAAGATGATAAAACATACATTTCTGGATAAAGCACTATAGTTTTTAAACCATTACTAATAATTTCAAGGTATGTAAATGAAAGAAAAATTCAATTTAATATATACTCAATTGTTCCTATGGGCTCCCCCCACACACCTTTTTGTTAAGGAAAGACTGTTTTCTGTTGAATGTTAGCACCCAATAATAAGGATGACTTAGTTACACAGTGTTAGTTACACAGTGAGAGGAGTAAGCCTTGATTCATAGGAACTGTCACAAGCTAAGCTGGGAGCCTGCAGTTTTCTCAGCATGATCCCTGTGTAGTGAACTCTTTGGGGCAATGTGCTATTTCATTAAATCATTCCTCTTCTAACCAGCTTAAGTACTACTTCCCCACACAGCTAACCCTACAAATGCAATCATTCTGTTACTTTCTATTATGTATACTTCTAAATATATAATGGTTTAAGTTTTCCTAAAAAAAAACAAATTAGGTGGCACCAATTTTTTCAGGATGGAGTACTAGTTCTAGGACAAACATGCATGGTACTTTATATAAAAACGGGAGAGGATAGCCTGCCTTTTACTCCACTTCTTACATTCTCGAGACACACAAGTTTGCATTCCCTAGGAGAACGTTATAGCAGATCTGAAATCACTGATGCTTATTAAATTTGAATGCTCACATTTGTGGAAGTTTTAACTTTCTAAACATGGATACAATAAAATGGTAACAAAAATAAAACTTACATTGGAATGTATAATGATTATTAATAAAGATTTACCTCAGTTTGCCTGTTTCACACCATCTTGGGGATAAAAACGAAATAATGATGATGATGATAAAGAAAAAGGAGGGAGGAAGAAAAGAATCTCAAACAATTGTAGGTACACTAGCCTCTTTAATATCCTTCCCAGTGATTCAGAATGATACTAGAATGATATGGTTTCCTGACTATGAAGTAATATCTAACTTCTTCGTTATTCATGTCAGCCGTTCTCGTGACATTCAATGATTTTTGTCAGGCCTACATTTTTCATCAAAATATTTTCAACACATGTGAAAAAGAACCTTTATTGGGAGTATATCACACTCCTCAAATAAACAGGTGGGAATTTTATTTTTTTCTTAAAAAATATGAAATGGATACTAATTTATTTCTATTGTATATACCTATAGAAGCTCACTTTAAAAGAGTTTAAATGAAATAAACAGTTTAAATAAAATATGAAATATTTTATCTGGCTAACACTCACAGGGACAATTTGTGTCTGATTCTTCAAGAGGTTTCTTTCTAGATTTTCACACATTCAGTACACTTTGTATATTTTGTTTCCCTCTGTATATGTAATGTCTGGAGGGAATAAAATAGTTTCTGGTATATTATTTATGTTAAAAAAATGTGTAAGTCCTAGTAAGTGTAAAATGAAAAAGAATTCATTTGCTATAATTTATTTTGCCACCTTAGCAGTAGTGTCTGTGATTTATACAAATAAACTACAGTTGGAGAAATTAACTAGAGTTGGAGGCATCTGTTAGTAGGCAGTGTCATAATATGATGAAAGTATCCACCTTACATTTGTTTGCATGCTTGCTTGTATTATTGTTGACTATCGTTACTTGACACATTATTTTATAAAACTGATGACAGGAGTCATTGCATCAGCCCTACCATGCCTTTCAACTCACCTGCACACACAAACATAATAAATACAATTAACTTATCCTGTAACTTACATTCGATTAGAAACTGAGGCTTATTTGACCACTTGTTCTATCCCTCTTGTTCTGAATTTCTTGCTATTAGTGAGTTTCTGCCAGTATATTAAAGCTTCAAATGCTCGTGCTAGAAAAGAAAAACTTTCTAAAATTAAGAATCTAAATTTTCACTTTGTCTTAGTTTGGGCTGCTATATTAAAAGACCAAAATTCACTTTTCACAGTTCTGGAGTCTGGGAATTCCAAGATTTAGAAGGCAGCAGATTCTGTTCCTAGTGAAAACCCACTAGTGCTCTCATGACCTAATTACCTCCCAAACACCCCACTTCCTAATAACCTCACATTGGGTACTTATATTTAAACATAATAATTTTAGGATGACACAAAATTCAGCCCCTAATGCACCATAAGCAATTATAAAGGAACAAAGTAAGTGGAAATAAAAAAAAAAGATGAGAATAAAAATCAAAAATATAGAAAAATATCAATGAAAACAAAAATTGTTTCCCTGAAAACACTAATAAAATTGACAAAACACTAACAATAGTGAAAAAAGGGAGAAAACCTTTTTTTTCTAATATCAAGTAAATACATTACTGTATTTTTCTATTGAGATCAACTAACAACATAATGTTAACAACTTCATGCCTATAAATTCTGAATCTTTGATGACTTGGACAAAATATTGAAAGACCAAATTTATTGGTTCAAGAAGAATCAGAAAGTTGTAACACTCAAAATCAATTAAAACATGGAATTCATAATTAAAAACATTCCTCACAAGTAAGGGATGAATGTCTGCTCACACTACTTCTACTCCACATTGTACTATAGATGCTACCAATAATTAAAGCACATAAAGGGAATAAAAGTCATACATAATGCAAAAGAAATAGTAAAACTGTCTTATTCACAGACCATATGATTAACTATAAAATCCTTGAGACTATCAAAAAAATCTTCTACCACTAAGAAATGAATTTAGGAATATCACATAATATATAAAGACTATGTTTTACTATTAGAAAAATTAAAATATTATATTCAGGGGGAAATGGCACTTACAGTAACATCAGAAATATATTATAATGAATTTAACTGAAAGCATGACAGCCCACAAACTGAAGATACAATTTTGTACTAAGAAATTAAAGAACACTTAAATGAATGTAAAGTTATACCATGATCATGGATTATAAGACAATCATTAATGTATGAATGTCTGCAAATAGTTCTATAGTCTCAATACGATCTCAATTTAAACATCAATACTTGTGTCTATGGACAAAGCTGTTTCTAAATTTACATGGCTATGAAAAGAATCTAGAATAGTAAAATAATCTAAGTAAATACACTGACACTATTAAATTTTAAATTATTTAAATTATTAAGATTGAATTTAAATTATTCAAATTATTAAGATAAAACAGTCAAGATGTATGACATTGGTACAAGGATTGAAAAGGAGATCAATGGAACAGAATATAGATTTCATAAATAGACTCCCACATAAAAAGTAAGTATATTTTTGATGAGGATTTCAAAGCAATTCATTGGGGAAAAAATGTTTTCAACCAAAGTTGCTGGACCACCCACATAAATGCAAGGTGATAAACTTCTGCTCTCATAAGTCACCATTAGAGAGATGAAAAAAAGTAAGTCACACATTGAGGAAAATATTTACAGATCATATAAGTGACAAAACATTTTTATACAATATCTATAAATAACTTCTACCAGTTATTAAAATATTTTCAAACAAATCTGAAAAGATAATTTATAAAGAGATGTTAGGGCATTTGGGAGCCACTGACTCAAGCTAGTAATCACCACTCTTTACTCCTTTATATTTCCATTGCTGCACCCTTTGTCCTGCATGTCAACTCTATGTGCCCCCTTCTCTAGTATAGTCTTTGTGGACATGTGCCCTTGAGTTAATAAAAACAGAAAAGCTCCCTATGGCAGCCACTCCTCACAATGATGCATTATACTGCCCCAGTATTGCTCTAAGCACAAATTAATTACAGTTTTTCCTACCCCTTCTGACATGCCATGGCTCTTGTCTTTCAAGGTTGTCTTATTTTAGTTGTAAATTGGTTGTGACTGTGAAAGCGACTAGTCCAGCATCCTCATTCTGCTGCCATCTTGTCAGATATCCCAACATTAATAAATATTTTTAGATTTGAAAGATCAGTGAATTGAATTTTAATTAATATTTCATATACTAATATAGTCATTGAAGTTACCAACACTAATTTGCAAAGTGAGGATACTTTGTTATACCACTCTAAATCCATCTCATCCAGTAATTGGGGGAAAAACATTCTTTGTAAACTGTATTCACTCACATCACACCTTTCTTAGAAAGAAAGGAAACTAAATACAGGCACCACTCTTTTCCTCTTGCTAGCTGGGGAATGTAATTTGAATTAATGTTAGTAAAATATGCTTGAGAATGACATTTGAATTTCTGTTACCTTTTTCAGTAGAGTTAAAATATTTAATTTCAAAGCATTTTACAAAAATTTTTATACTTTAAATAATTCTTACACTTACCCCTTAATCTTTAAATTCCACTAACTTCTCAGCGACTTCCCAGTTTTCAACTAGCTTTTTGGACACTAAGTAACAATCCAAAATTTTAAAGGAAGTTAGGAAGCTGACAGTAGTCTAAAGACAACTCTTAATGTACATGAAGTATGGCTGTTTATAGGTCTCAGGTATAGCAAAGCTGTTTGTTGTGAGAACAAAACAGCTCTTCAAAGGTTGTTCCTTCAAATAAGGAACATAAATTATACACTTATGTATAGATTTATAGCACATCCTTATTAAACAATATATATTCAGTACCATAGTATAGATGTACATACTATGAGTAAATTGACTTCTTTGAAAAACTTAGTGGCAAGTGATAAGTAATCTTATTTCATGTAACTTACTATGAATTGTAAATATTTACACATTTGCCATTACATGCCTAACACAATTATTCAGTATTTTTGAAAGTTTTTAAAATTCACAATATTAAAATTATTTCAAAACATTACCAAACATTAGGTCTTATATCTGAGACCTAAATATAGTTTGCTTTACTCAGGGTCTTTCTGCCTCAGTTCTTCAGAATATGGCCATAATCTCCTATAATTATGAAGTACTTCATATATCGAGCAAGTTTTACAGCCCACTAAAAAGCTAATTAATGTTAAGTTCAAATTGGTTCTCTTACACTGACATTGCTGTAAGTAGTTGGCTTGGCTCAAATATAAAGTGCACTTTCCTTTGACCTTATATAACTAAATGCAAGGGTAGCTCATTAAGAAAATTTTAGCATTTCTCTTGCAGGGATATATTACTAATGCTTAGCTTTCAGAAGCAAAAAGAAAGTGAGGTTGGGGGGTGCAAACTTGTGAAAGTTCAGGCAAAATCAAATATCACATGCAGTTTGTTTCTCTTAGATTGCTCTTAACATTGGGCAGGAAGCAAGTCTCTAAAAGTCAGATGTCATAAAGAAAAGTGATTATGACTTCTTTCCTGTAATAAACTTTCTAATTTTGGTTTCAGAGCATTCAACCTGAGGTTACTTAACGTTACTGAGAATTTACACAAAACAATGTTCTTCCTATATCTTGTAGAGAAAAGTGGCGATAATATGCCTTTTACTGCCACCTCAAATTCTCCTGACCCAACTCTTCCTCCAGCCAATGTTCTGGTCATCATTTCCTTCCAGGATTTGACCAACTCTTAGAAGATGCACTTGACAATGTCTTACCTCATTCCAATGCCCTATATTTCTTTATTCCTATACTAGGGTGGATGGATTACCTGAAAGTGTGGGATATTAACATCCATGAAACCACAATCCTAAACTAATTCCATAATACTCCTCAGAGGTCCACCTGGATAGAGTTTAGGTGGACCTAATAACAAATGCCAATTTAATACTGCATCCTTGGAAAATTTTCTCATTTCTTTCTTTATTCCTTAACTCCTGCTCCTTGGGATCACTTCCTAAATGAGTTAGTTACATGTTAAACTTTTCCTCAGCCATAGTTCAGGAATGTCAGAAAATACTTGGAACAATGGACACATACAGTTTTTACTAAAAATAATTATCTCATGTTTATGATATGATAAATATGCTGAAAGTAGACATATTTATTTCAATGAATAGTAATTTTTTAAAGTCAGAGCCAAATATAGTATTGCCAATTTAAAAAAAAAAACAGGTATGAACAATTAAAAATAAAATAAATATTTTCTTACCATCATGTTTTAAAATTTTGCCTTCATCTTAATCCAAGAAATACCACTTGCTGGGGTATGACCTTCAGGTAAATTATTAAAGTTTCTGAGTCTCAGGTTCCTCTTCTGTAAAATGGGGACACTATCAGTGTACTAGAAAGTTATAATAACAGCACAATAGATAATTAAATGTGTCCAATGTCTTTTTTTTTTTTTTTTTGCATAGAAAATCCACTCCAAACTGAATTTCTTAAAATATTAACCAGTTAATTGACTCAGAGTTCTGTAATCTGAGTTGGGATCAACAGGACGTTTTTTTCTAGGCCTGTCCCATTGGGATCATTCATGAAATTGTCATGACCTAGAAGTTTCACTAAGGTTAGGTAGTTGAAATATACACACTCGCTTATCTGATAGTTAGCTAAGGTACGTTGATCTCCTCTCTGGCCCCTCTGGAGGAAGCTAGAGTTTATATCACTAAAAATAAAGAGCTTTCCAGGTGGAGGAGAGTCAAATCTAGGAAAAATACCTCAAGGCAAAGTCTTAGGCAAAGTGTTACTTCTGCCACTTTTTACTGATTGTAGCAAATCATAGAGATAAAAAGGAAAGGAATAAATCCCACATCTTAGTAAGAGAAGCAGCAAATAAATTGTGGACATTTTTTATGGTATCTATTTCAAAAGTAGTATTTGCAAATAGCTAAAGAGAGAGTCTGGCACAGTGTCTACTATTTTAAAAAATAGTTATTTTATCACATATTATAATATTAATACTATTTCATAAGAAAGCAATTCATTTTTCTTTAAAATGCAGGAAATTCAAGGGAAGGAGCACGGGGCTGATTAAATTAGATAAGAGGGGTCAAATACATGTGAAAGATGGAAATGAATTTCCGGTGGCAAACTTGATGTGGTATATATACATGCTGATTCTCAAAGATAAACACCTGAAACATATATCATTATGCAATATTACTTCAATTGAAAAATAAATAAATAAAATGTAATCATCAAAGAAATTGGTGGATCCATTTGCCAATCTACATAGGAAGGTAGAAGCCTTATTTGAAAAATGAGAAGAGCACTTAGCAAGCACAGATGGCTTAATCAACCAACCTGACCAACCTCCCTCTCAATGTCTTCTGTTACTTTTTCTTTTTTTTTTTTAAAGATTTATTTATTCATGCATACAAGAACCAGGGTACAGGCCAGATGTGGGGGAGGGTGAGAGGATTCATCAGAAACAGAGTGGGGAACAGAACAGGCAGACTGATGAAATACACTGCTGAGGGGAGCAGCGGGCGAGGTAGGAGAGGTCTGCCACGCCATGTGGGACCCTCGCCGGCTGGCCGGGATCGAACCAGCACTGCAGAGGCTGCGGACAGCTTCACAGTGCGGCACTCATCCACCTACGCCACCAGGGGAGGCCCTTCTGGTACTTTTTCATTAGTTCACCCCAGCAACAAAAATCTTGCACATTTTTTGTTTCAGCATAATTACAATCAATATCTCTCTTACACTGGCAATTGTTTTGACTCTAATCACAATAATCTTGGACACAGTTTCCTTATTGTTTTATAACATTTCTGGTGCAACTTTTCTTTCACATAATTGTATTTAGTGTTATACATTACTGAAATAGGTGAAAGTGGATCTGTCTAGGAAACACCACTACAAAGTTTCAAATGTCAAAGGAAATAATGCTTATGGTAACAATACACATACACACTATATTATGTTGCTCAAAAATGAAACACCACAAAAACACATGCATTAGACAATTTAAAACAATGAACTTAATTCCTTTATGAAGTTATGCTTCCTCTAAAGTGGTAAACCCTATTTAATCTTTAATGTCCTGTAGGTATAGAGTTTCTGATAATAAACCACAGGCAAGTATCAGGATGTGTGGGCTGACCATCACATGATAGGATTTCTATAATGAAGTGTGAAGATACTGACACCAAAACTAAATAAAGTTAATATATATGTCATGAAGAAAAATGTGTAACCTTTCCTTTTTAAAAAACACACTTTACGGGCCTCCCCGGTGGCGCAGCAGTTGAGCGCTGGGTTGCGAAGCTGCCCGCAGCCTCTGCAGCGCTGGTTCGATCCCGGGCTGCTCCCCTGCCACTGGAGGAGGGTCCCACATGGCGCGCAGACCTTTCCTGCCACCCACTGCTCCCCTCAACAGTGTACTTTGGTCCTTCTGCCTGCTCTGCTCCCCACTCTGCTCCCTGCTCTGGCTCTGGTGAATTCTCTCACCCTCCAGCGCTTCTGACTGTACCCAGTGCTTATATAAATAAATAAATCTTTTTTAAAAAATATTAAAAAAAAAAAACACACACACTTTACCTTGCTCTTGCAGTCTTTAAAGTATCATTTAGAAGTATATAATAATTTTCTTTCCCACATTTTAATGGGAAAATTATGGCAAATAAGCACATAAGGTCAAAATAATGGCACTATGAACACATTTTTACATCCTGTGCAATTGTAGTTGGGCCATAAATTGGCTTTGATCTTTACAAGAACTATGGCAAAGAACAAAATACAAATTTCATATTTCACAGTAACTGAGTTAAAAATATTCCAACTCCTCAATCAACAAACAAAATAAAACTGTTCCTGGTTCAGAAATCTGAATAGAATTTATCTTCTAAACTTGCATAAATGAGACATAGAATGAGAAACATTTTTAACTAAATCCTTATGGTGATCATAACAATGTAATTCACAGGACTATTTGTCAATCTGTCTTCCAAGTGTATTCATCACAGTACATTTATAGAGAAACCCAAGGAATACAATTCAGATACACAGTTGTTCAGCTCAATTCAGAGATAAATCCAAAGATAGTGTCTTGGTAAGTATTAAGCAGCTGTGAATTTGTCTATATTCCATGAGAATAATCCATGACATTGTCACTGGTGATTGTTCTGTATGGGAAGAGGAAATTGGAAGGGGGTAGTTTGTAGATGTTATATGATAAGGGTTATATGGAAATTACACTTTAAGAGCTAACTGACATAGAAGTAAGATGAACACTATACACTTAGAAAGATAAGCCAAACTAGGACCCAGGTTCTATAAAAAAGTAAACTGAAGGATACCTGTGGCAGGGACAAGATAGAGAGATCCACATGGTACCTACATCCAGTGAAAACACGACTTTGGAAGTAAAAAGTGATAAGCACCATAAAGTGTATCCCCTTGTTAAAGGAATCATTTGCATTACTTAGAGTGGATAGATATAAGCCAGTTTAATATCAGAAACAAAAACTTTATGTTGGGAGAGCTGATCTGAACTCAGGCTAGTAATACATTAAAAGTATGCCTACTATTTGAAATTAAAACTATGAAGGATTTGCCTTATAGTAATGTACACCTTAAATACATATAATTCTATTAAAATGTTACTTTGATAAAATTTAAAAAATAAGGAAGTAAATATAGTAGATATATCATCTGACAAATAATGTTTCTACTTAATGAATTTATGTTAATAAAATTTCACCATATTTTCTTAGCTTTTTCATTGTACACTGCAAACAAAATCTCAAATACATACACATGCTTATATCACTAACACTAATCCCAGCAACAAAAGTACCAGTCATATCATTTGCCTAGTTATTAATCAAGAGTTTTTATCACAATATGGTACCCCAAGACTTCCATATAATTGTCTATCCCATCAGACCTAGAACAGCCAAATACTAGAAGAGCACATCTGCTCAACTTAAGAATTAAAACAAATTATAAGGCTAGAACTGTATGGTTTCTTGTCCTACAAACATTCATGAAGTCCATGTGTGAGTTTAGACATTAACTTAATTCTAGTCATGAGCATAAGACAAGTATGAAGTGTTGACTTCATAACACACAGTCAAGTGTCAAGCTCTGTTCTTGTTCTGACTTCTTGTTCCTTCCTTTAATATAACACTTTTCTATTGGATTTTTTTAATTATATAAAATTATCAAGGTGTGTGATATCTTTGAACACACTTCATGACATACAAAGTGAGAAATAAATATAACAACCTATTTTTTATTATGCAATCCTAACACATGCATGCCAAGCGATGAATTGCTAAACACTGAGTGTGACATGTGCCTTTGAGTGAACAGAAAATGTTGACTCACCACTACCTTCAATAGTTTGCTGAATTTCACACTTCATCTATGTGTGCCTGAGAGCCTGAGTTCCTGTCATCTCTAGCGAAGATAACCTATTTTACCTGCTGACTTCTGCTAAATTAAGTTAAATACACCTTCCTGACATCTCTATTCCCAACCAGATAATCTGTCTATCATAGCTGACCTATGGTGAAAGGATTAGAGTTGACCTTTCTGCTCTCATATTATCTAACTTACCTTTTCAGGTGAATAGGATCAAATACACAAAGATTTCTTTCAAATAACAATAAAATTACACCAGAAACTCTATCTCCTACCCTAATAGTAATAGCCTGTACACCAGAAACTCTATCTCCTACCCTAATAGGAATAGCCTGTACATTGTGACCTTGGTATATTTAGGTAAAATCTTCTATAACCTGAACAAGCCTCCTTTAAATTATTTATGATTCAGATTTTTTCCCCTGGTAATCTGTATTTGCCTTCCAGAACTGATATATAGCTGATAAAATATAGACCCCAAATAATGTGTGCCTAATGCACCTGGACCTCACAAAAAAAAAAAAAAAAAAAAAAAAACCCTGAAAGAGCCATGGCTCTAACTCCAAATAACTATCATATTTTCTAAGGTACACTACACATTTTATTTTGCAGAACTTGTTTATTCAAAAATTTTTTGAAAAGTGTGCCGAATTCCCAGTTTCAATGATTCTTATTTTAGCTGGTATATATTTTCAAAATTAATAGAAATTATATGGATTAGATATTTTTAAGTATAAATTTGTACTTATGAGGGAACTTTTAATATTTAGGGAATCTTTATCAAATATCTATTCTAGTGTTTATAGATACTTAGAGACAAAAGTAAGGAAGGAGATAGCAATCCTATTCATTTAAACCACTCAGTAAAAAAATCCAGCTATTTATTTTTATTTATCAATAGTAAGGTCTTACATGTGTTTTAGTTATTGAAAACA